GGGAATGGCTTAATGGCTACACAACTGGACTCCCACAGAGTCAACCACTGTCCGATCCGGGACCCCACCACCTAAAACTCACCGTGGGGGGCGGGGGGGCGGCGCACATTTGCCCAAACCCAGGGAGGGGAATGGAGAAGGGACTGAGGCATGGCCATGCCCCCTGGGAGGTGTGATGTCTTGCTTTCTGTCTCTCCGGAGAGTGCACGAGCCCTAGATCTCTAAAAAAAGAGGCAATTTGTTTGAGTGCACAGAGTTCAACATGTGATTAATAAACATTCTAGGGGGCCAGCAGATGGCATAGTGGTTATGTCACTGAACTCCCATATGGCTGACCACGGTTCTAGTACCATATCCGGTAGTATGTGTGTACCCAAGATCCCCAGAGAATGGAGAAGGGACTGTGGCATGGCCACTCCTCATGGGGGTTATTTCTCCCTTTCCCTCTCACTATCTCTGTCTCTCTCTCTCTGTTCAGTGAGTGTAAGCACTCTAAGGCAAAAATCTCTCCATCAATCACTCAAGTAAACGTGCTCTGCTGGACCCTGAATCCGTCCCGTTGCTGAGCCCGAGACCCCCACTGTAAGCAGGTTTCAGGCAAACAGCCGACAGGAGCGGCTTCTCCCGATGGGCCCTCAGAACACCGAGGGAACACGAAGGCCTCAGCCTGCAGTCTCAGGAGCATGTGGTCAAAGGGGTGCTACTTAGCCCGGCGATGGCGGGCTTGACAGGACCACGCAGAGGCCGCTGCCTTCCACTCCGAAGGCTCAAGTCTGGGTTTGCAAAGCAGCCCCAGTGCGGGCTCAAGCCCCTCCTGCGGCCACAGAACCGTCTGGGCAGCGCGGGTCAGGCCGTCTGCCACCCTTTCCGTGGTCGCAGGAGACCCTTGTCCCTGATTCTCCCAGTCTGAACCCTTGCCGAACCCCTGGGTGCCACACACTTGCACCCACCACACGTGTCAGTCCGCGTAGGCCCTCGGATGTCGCTTGCCTTCTCTGCTCCTCTACCCAGCCCCGCGCACAGCCTCCCTGGGCCTGCGCCCCTGAGCGCGGTCAGACGGCGCCTTGGGCGGCACTGGCCAGGGGTCCTCGGGAACCGGCCTCGGGCAGCGGTGCAGACCCAGCGCGGCCCCAGGGAAGGGCTCGGGGAGGGGTGTGTAGGGGGAAGCCCCGGGCCGAGGCTCACCTGCGGGGCCCGGGCGCGGCCAGGAGCCGGCCCCGAAGAGCAGGTCGCGGTAGCGCTGGAAGGCCTGGTCCAGCACGGCGCAGCCCGCCTGCGCGGCC